GTTTTTTCCTTTTAATTGGATGCTGAGAGTACTAGAAAAAGAACTCCAGAAAACCATAATTAATGGGTGGTGAGTTCACAGAGATAGAAGCTTTTTCCTACCATGAATGCTGTGTAAAGTTGAATTGCTGCTGTGGAGTGCAGAGCATTGTGTCTGTGTCTCCTCTGTGGCTCCCTGCTCTGCCCAGCTCAGGCACCCAGCAGAGCTCCTTGGTGCCACATGGATCTGGGGCTGAGGAGACACAGCTGAGATGGTGCCACACAGAGAGCACAGGGCAGGGCTGGGGAGGGGGCTCATCACAGGGACACTGCCCTGGGGAGCTCAGGCTGCAGCATCCAAAGTGGGATTCAGCAATTCAGATCAGGGTTTGTGGAACAACAGGTGAATTTGGCAACAGCACCTGGTGGATTCTGTAGTCTTTATGAGAAGTCTCAGGTGACTGAGATAGAGAACAACTGTACTAGAAGCGATTTTAACAAAAAGCGTTGTCTGATCTAAGAACCCCCAAACTGTTAACTCTAATCTCGTTACTTGTATCAGACACTTGAAATGGAGGATTTTAGCAAAGCTTGGTGGAAAAGACCCCAGCCCTTCTCTCACTTGTTTCTAGCTCATGTGCACAAAGAGTAAATCCATCACAACTTTGGCTCCATGGTAAACTCGGGATGGCTGGAGTGCTGGCCCGTGCTCTGACTGGTAGAGAGGAGCAGAAAGTGCCAGTGGCTACAGAATGCTGCAGTCAGACAAACACATCTTAGGGTGAAGAATGATGCAGCAGGGGGAGTGAGTTTTTGAGGAAGTACAGGAAGGAAAGGGTCAAAAACAGCTCCTCAGCTGCCCAAGCTGCCACACAGGCCAAGGAGGCTGCAGCAGTGCCAGGCAAGGGAGGCAGAAGCCTGGGACACAAATAGACACATCTGCTGTGATTTGACCATTTCACTTGCAGTATTGTTGGCTGGATGGAGTGGCCTGGAGGCAAAGGTGTCCATCAAGGAAATAAACAAGCTGCTGCAAACTAAATGGGAGACTGCCCAGTCAGATCACAAATGGAGAGTGAATGGGAGGAGAGGGAGATGGGAGTGAAGCTGTGAGGCAGAACATATGGTCAGGACTCTCCACCTGGGAAGCATTGGCACTCTACCCAAGATCTTGCACAAGAAGCACAAAGCGTAATTAATGCAATTCTGAGCTGTCTTTTTAATGAAAAAGTAAAAATAACAATTTGCTTCTGCAAATAATAGTCGTAAACATTGCAACTACTGCTAAAGAGGATTGAAAAATGGGTTATAAAAATTAAGTTTATCTTTGCTATCTCTGACGCTTATTTACATCACCCTCCTCTTTAAAATGCACCCAGCCTGGAAACTGGAATTAAGCTGGCTATTTAATTTTTTTCTTTTCAGATTGCTTTCTTTCCATATGTACTAAGTAGGATTAATGCAATGTTTTAAAGTTCTCCCTTTTTACATTACTCATTGTTTTAGGAACATTTGTTAGCATTATAGGTTAATTGAGTATCTAAAGTTTTTTTAAAGCAATAATCAGCTTCCTTTAATTCTCTTTGTGATTTTCTGTATCCTTTCCCACTCCACAGACTGATACAACAGCTAATTAATGTTTCAGTGAATACCAAGTTTCTATTCTTAGTTATATTGACAGTACAGTTTTCAAATGTCTTTAGGTCCATGAGTGACCTTATGCTTATGAAAAATTTTCTGCAACTCAGTGTTCCCCTACAGCTTTACAGAACATTATGGCAACATTTGTACAGAGAATTCACACTCAGTGGGAATGTTATCAGAAAGGTACTTACTGTCACACTGCTTTGGACTGACTGTGTAAATGTAACATTTTAATTATGTTTGTAAACCTTTTAGCATAAGAAAGAAAGCCTTCCAGTCAGATGGGCAAAGTTTTGTGTCATCAGCTGTGACTTGTCATGGTCAGCCCCACAGTTGTAAATTAATATTTTCTTAATCTATCTTGGTTTTGAGGGAGATTCTGTAGACATATGATACAACAAGGGAAAACTTGGAGAAATGAAAAATGGCAAAATTTTAATCTTCTACTTTTTCATAAACATTAAACAAACCAATTGGCTGCTCAGACAGAAAGAGCAATTCTCTGTGTCACCCACGTGGCAGAGCTTAGGGAGGGTCAGCCCTCCAGTCATCTGCCACACTCCAGGATTCCCTAAAAATTAGTTTTCCAATCTCCTTGCAGTTCTGAGGATGTTCTCAAGACTGAGAGCTAGCTGGAAAGATGTAATGAGACAGATGAACTGTCAGCCAGCTGTCCTAAAGTCTCTGAATAACAAAATGGCAAACGAGCCGACAGCTGTGGGCACAGCACTGCTTCTCTCCACCTTTTTGTTCAGCAAGAGATCAGCAACTTCTTCCTTGGCAAGACCAGAGTTTTACACAAGGAGATTTGATGTGATCCTTGGTGTGTGGGCTGGGCTCTGTCAAGAGGCACAGCTCACAGTTCAGAGTTTTGCTTTGGACTTTATTTCCCATTTTCACACGTGCTCTTGGCATAGACAGTGACAAATACACAACAGCAGCAGCTCCAAACTCAGGTGAATATTCTTCCAAGAGAGACTTCAGGTGTTGCTAAGATGTTCTAGCCTTGTAAAAGGTGCAAGTGCTGTGAGGAAGTTTTCAGGAGCTGTTTGCAGTTTCTTTGCCATTTAACAGCAGAACTGTAGCTGTTTGTTTCCTGGCTGTGGTGATTGTGTTTATAAGCAGCACACACAGAACTGGAACTTGCTGGTTTGCTCGGGGTCTGAAATGCTGGTGTGTGCAGTTTTGTGAGATATCTTACCAAGTGATCATAGGACCTTGATTTGGTGTATGCTTTCAATGCAAGGAGCACAGCAGCAACTAGGAAGAATTTAATTTAAAGTTTGATAGGTCATGCTGATTATGTTTAGAATGGCTTTAACACTGTAGATAACATCCCAAACAAATTATCAATTGCTCATCCTTTCTCTTATCTGTTATAGCTTGGAAAACATTCAGTCAGTGAATTCTTCTGAAGCAAAGGAAGCATAAGGTTTTATCTTCAAACTTGCTGAGATGTGTAAATATGCCCACAAACAGGCATTTCCTTTGCCTTTGGGAAGCCAGCCCAGCTCTCCTCTGGGTGTTCTATCTCAACAAGAGTTTCGTACTGTGTAAGCAAACAGTGGCAATAGCAGAGGGAAGAGATACACTGGAAAACTTTAAGCTTACAGCTAAAAATTAAAAAAATATTTTCCATTGAAAAGACTTCTTAAGAAAGCAAAAGAAAGCACTTTTAATAACAAGCATTTGCTGGAATTTCTGACCGAGGCAAGATCCTGCTGTGCAGTAAAGCTGTGGCTGAAGTGGCTCAAATCACACCTATGGATTTAGGATTCTGCTCCTGAGGAGAAATGAGGGCTTGGTGTTGCCCTTGTGGCAGAGCACACAGCTGTGCACAGGTTCACAGCCAGGAGCTGATGTGCCTTTTCTTGGGGCTGTTCTTTCCCTGCAGATGACAAGCTGGAGCAGCAGCATTCTCTGTTTACACACTACAAAGACCCGTGTCGAGTTGGTCCTGGGGACGATAAGCCTTGGGCAATCGGTAAGACCTTCCCTAGCTCCGTGTGGGAACACCTCCCTGTCTGTCACCCACAGCCAGCTCTAAGCAGCAGCTGCTTCAGCTGACCAGCAGTTAGAGTTTGGTGGAGGACAAATATTTATAAGGGGTATTTCCATACCATAAATTCTATAGACCTTAACAATATCTTGTGGAATGCTAATTAAGAACCAGAGATCTTGAACTTCAGTCCACATTCTAGAAGTCATGCATCAAGCTACCTGAATTCCTTCCCCATACATTCTATTTTTAAAATAATTTCTATCTTATTTGAAGGGGAAGGTAGCCAAATTTTTGTTTCTGTACTTTGTGCATGCAGTGAAAGCCTGCAGCTTCTGCTCAGTGTTCCATTTGGTGCTCAGTAAATACTGTCAGTGAGGATGCAACAAAGCAAATCAACTCCACGAATTTGTAAGGTTTGTATTATAGAAGATTTCCTGGAACTCTGAGATATTAATACCTGGTAAGACTCAGTTGAACTTGCTGAAATTTTAGAGCAGGAATTAATACTTTCTCCAGAGGAGATTTAATAACTGTGAAGATACTAAAGATAAGTAGAACCTTTTAATAATGAGGTTTTATTCTGTGGTAAGAGAAGAACAAATTAGAGTCATGGGGGCTGAGAAAGTGGAAGTGCAGAGACATTTGCAAGGTGTCAGGCAGAAGGGAGGTCTGGAGAGAGAAGTGAACACATTGTGCTCTCAGAGCAGTTCCCCTCTCTCCCACACACTTGTGCCTCTGCAAGTTTCCCAAGAGGCACATCCCAGGAGCTATGCTGGGACACTCACATCTCCCTTTCTGTTCACAGGTACCCTGTTGGATCCTGAAGGATTATATGATGAAGAAGTGTGCACCCCAGATAACCTGCAGAAGTATGCAATTCCTAACCTTTCCATGTGTTTTAGACAGTTCTGTAACAAGCAAGTTCATTGCTTGCTGCATAACTGAGAGGTATTTTATGGACTGAAAACAAAACAAATCATCAAAGGGATGTTTGGGGAAGAGGATAAAAGGGTCAGGAAAAGAGGTTCTCTAAGTCAAATAGGGCTGGCTTCAGTGGGTGAAGAGATGAGAGCAGCTGCAGGCAGCTCTGTACAGTGTCTTTTGTACATTTTAGAGCAGCATTTAATGAATGTGGTGATCCTTTTGTCACCTTCTCTACCATGAAGGCGAGTTTACTGTGTTAAATAAGTACCTCAGCCTCATGACTGAGGTAAATAAAAGATATTCTAACTATGCATTACCAAAATATATTATAGAGGTAAAGCTAATTAAATTGAGAAGTCATCCCAGATGTTTCTGTTGACACACATAATGGAAATGGTACATTATAGAAAGTTGATGCTGCAGTTACTCACCAAGAACAGTACACTCCGTGGTATAGATGGACACTTGGTTTAATGTATTGAGGCCACACCCTGAAGTTTTCTTTCAGTTTTGACTAAAGACATTAAATTCTAGACATCAGGTTTGGCTTTAGTTTACATTCAAAATAAATATTTTTTACAGCAAAGCCTTCTTTGCACATTTGAGAGATTACAAAATTCCCAGACATTTCTATTCACACGTTAAAAACATAACTTCCGTACATGTGAAAGGGATTTTTGGAAAGCAAAAATAAGGTAATTTGGCCATACAATCAAGTTTGCTACTGCAAATCTGTACGTGGGTGTAACATTACATTTTATGCCTCCAAGAGCAGGCTTGGAGAATTTAAAAAAAGCCAAAACAAAACCTAACCCCCTTCATCCCCTAAGGAAACCAAACCAAATCAAAAACAAACAAAAGAAACAAAACCCAAACAAACCCTGTGTTTTAAAGTGGCCTTTTCAGACAATGTGGCACAAAATTCCTTTTGGGGTATTATGGTTTATTCCCTGAAGAGCTACTTGTGTTCAGCTATTATGTTCCACTGACAAATACATGACTGATTAAATAGGGAGCCATCAAATAATCAATAACAAATTAAGAATACTACTTCTGCTGCCTCTGGGTATGCACAGCACCTCTGTGTGTGACAACTGGAAAACAGCCCTGAGTGCTAGGAATAGAATATACATAAGGTTTCTTATGTATATGTGTGCTAAGAGTGGCTTTCAGCTTTCTGCAATGTGTTGTAGTTCTTTTGCACTGATAAGTCTCTATGAGACTGTAATTTCCCCTGGCTCTGTCTGCAGCTGTGCAGGGACACAGGGCTCTGCATGTGTGCATTGTGTGGAGGAGCCCATGCACTGGAGAAGCCATGGTTTCCATGAGAGGCCGAGGGAGCTGTCTCTGTAAAGGACTGGCAAACAGGGAATTGCAGAGAAATTCAGTGAAATGTAAAGCAATTAATGGAATCTGGTCTTTAAAGACATTTAAATGTTAAATAGTACAGTGGCTGTGAGGCACTATCTAGGTAACAAATACTGTTCATATACACAGCAAACCAGGGTACTGCCTAGAATTGATCCATTCTCAAATTTTGCAAAAATAAATCCTGATAAAGCTTTAAAGACATTTAAATTGGCAATGTCAGCTATCCAGAGAATTATTTCTTCATCAGCATTCTTCTCTGGTTTATAAATAAAATTATTTCACATTACTAAAATAAATAGGCCATAAAAGCAGCAGAACAACTCATTCTTAACTGTCTCTTTTGTGTTAAGGGCAGTGTACATTAAACATCAGACTAGAACAACAGACTTAGTACAAATAATGAGCAAGTCATACTTATAATTATCAAACAATTAATTAGCAAGATGTAACAACCTGGGCCCTGCCACAGTCCTGGAAGACACACAAGCTTCTGCTCAGAAGGGCTTCAAGAAATGCACACAAATAATCCCATCTGACAGATGATTGCCATCTTTAAGTTAAGCACTGGAATAAGGCCATTTTTACCTCTGAACCCTGAGCAGAGGACAGCCTAGGAGAGCACATGCCAGCACAACTAAGAAAAAATTTGAATGCAATTTTTTCCAGTCTCCTCTGCTAGACAGAGGCTCACAGTTCTGGGCTAAAGACTTCAGTACCAGTGAGAAAAGTCTTCCTTAGCTCAGGTACTTCTGGCCAGAATGAGAGATGGTCCCTCAAGGTTTGGGATGAGGGAGTTTTTCTTTATGGCTCCCTTGCAGTCACTGCTCTTGGTGCTCCTTTGCTCGCTGCTGCTGGGTCAGCACCACACAACCAACAGAGGGCTTTCATACTCCAGCTCTGGGGAGTCTGGGACTGAAGCCCTGGCAGGGAAAAACAAAGTTCAGATTATTTTATCCTCCCTTTCTTTGTAACCTATGGATCAAGACAGTTATTCTGATAAAATTGAGGTTTAGTTGTGCATCTCAGTCATGATTAGAAATGTTCCCTCAAATTGTCAGCGTTTAACTGCCAGCACGGCAGAGGCAGCTGTCCTGTACTGGTGTCAGCTTCCTGGAGAGACAAACAGCACTCCCCTGTGCACAGAGAGGTGCAAGTTCTCAGCAGCAGCACATGCATACACATTTACAATTTGCTTCCCTTGTGTATTTGAAATTAATATTCCCTTCCATGAACACTTGTGCAGGTTAAGTGAATACCCAACACTCACAGACTTTTTAAGACATAACTGAAGCTGCAACAAGTTCATATTTTAAATTAATGCAAATAATATTTTTTTCAGTAGTGCTGCAGAGCTAATCAGCAGTTTCTTCTATTTTGTTACTTAATTAGCTTTGCCAAATATAAATACAATTTTTGAAAGAGGTCAGTACCATCAAAGAACTTGCTTCCTTGAACCTAGAAAAACAACTAAGTAAGTGAATCATTTGCAAGAGCTCTTTGGAGAATCAAAATGGGGTGCAGACAATAAGCTAATTTAATGTGAGTTACTATTAAAACAAAGCAACACATAAAAGAAAGTTTACTTTCATAAACTAATTACAATAAGCTCTAAGAACCTTCAATACCTCCTAAGTCCAAAGCAGGGAGTAAGAAAAGTTGTGATCAAACAACTCAGAGTTTTGTCATTGTTATCTGTTGCAGCACATTAAGGGCATCTCAAATGTATCAATTGACCTGAATTTAGAGATTATTACACTACTGAGACCTAATCAGCTGTAGCCAGTGCTAGGTCCCACTTGCCACCATTCAGGTCCTTCCAAAACCCCAAAATTTGACAAAGCAACCATCTGAATCTCACACATTAAAACATACCTTGTCCCTTGTTTTTTTCCCCATTCTGTACTCACATGTATGCATTAAAAAAATTCCTGCCCCATAAAACCCATCTAAGTCAAGTCTTAAAACCTGGGTGATCAAAAATATCTTACTTTTTTTTTTTTCCCCAAGGTGAAATTAAAGGCTTTGTGCTTGCCAGGACCCAAGTTCATGGCTCAGTGTTTCTCCTGCAAATGTTGATGATGCAACTCTTACAAGGGAAACCATAGAACCATGAGCTCAGGTTTTGGCACGTGAGTAAAGGAAGGAGATTTTTGAGGAGGTGGTTTTGAAAGTTTGTGTTTTAAGGCAGATACAGAAAAACCACAGCCTGAGCAGCCCTTCTCTGTGTGGGCTGTGCCACTCACCCCTTCTGGATTTGATGTCACCCTGTGGCACAAACCCCAGTGCAGGCAGGTCCCAGTCCAGCTTTTGCTCACACGCCTGGGGCTGCTCCCCTCAGTGCTCCTTTGGCAGAGCTTTTAAATAGAACACAGGAGGGTAAAACAAGTTTCCTTCAAAATCCAGCACAACAGCAAAACAACACAGAACAGCACAGGTTTACTGGAAAAACAGTGACAGGGACCCTTGTGGGGTACCTGGTCCAAGGTCACGTTTGAAGCTGGGCTCAGCTCAAAGTTAGATTGAGTTGCTCAGGGCCGTAACAGTCTTCTGTTTAAAACCTACAGGTAATGTGTAGGCACCCCAAATAAGTATTTTAATGGGAGAGCAGCATTTTATTTCCTTGAACACGAGACTGGTACCTAGAAAACCAATTCTCAGTTTTGAATGCTTCTGTATGTGGGCTTGGGCTGGGTAATCTTGCAAGGTGGGGGCAATGCTAACACACCTGCTGAGTAAATCCTCCATGTGGAGGAGTTTGCAGTGTCACAAACAGGAATCAAGTAAATGAAGCTGTAATTTCTAGTGAAGGAAGAGCTTGGGGTCCAAGACACAGTAATCTGATGCTGAAACCTGCTCAAAACCACCCACCATGTGCCCAGATGTTCTTGCACCCATACCCTGTCCCTAAAGCTGGATGTTGTAATTTTAGGAGTTGCTCTGATCAGAATGGAGAGGTTTGTATCAAAGTGATCAGGTTTGTACTGAAGCAATCCGGGAAACAACTTCCTCCTCTGCCAGTTTCAGAAACATTGGAAATTGGAAAACAGAGGGGCTCTGAGCTGCCTTACATTACTGACAGCAGGTTCCCCTCTCAGTGCTTGTTCTCCTGGCTTCAAGGGAGCTCGAGGGCAGCACCAGTGATACCAAGCCTGCCATGAGGCTTTAAGAGCACTGTCAGCAGTTAGAGCAGTCTCATACTGGGAATCACACTTGGAGAAAGATGTGCTTTGCAGGTTTAACAGTCCTTTGGGACTGGGATTATCCTTACCAGGGACTTGGAGAGAACCTTGGGTAAAGCTTAAATGGCCAGGATGTGCAAACATTTAAACATTTAAACTTGCTTTGTTTTTTTGGTTTGTTTTTTTTTTAATGAAATAGGGTGCTGGAAAGTGAAGAAGGAAGAAAAGGATACTTAGTCTTTCCCACCAGCAAGAACCACAGTTCCAGTCAGAAGGGGAGGAAGGCATCACTGAAGGGAAATGGGAGGAGGATTGACTATATGCTCTATACAGAAGAAGGTCTCTACCTGGAATGGAAAGTGGTGAGTTTCAGAGCTGCCAAAAAGGCTGTAACTTGCACAACACACTTCTCTGAATGGCACTGCAGCCTGTTCTGCTTGGATTAACACTCACTCCTGGGAGGATCTGCTGCTTTGCTATTTTCCACTTCTGCATGCAGGTACCATGTTTGTAAAGCTACTACATAACAAAGTTGAGTTTGAGCATTCCAGCAGCAGCACTGGTAGGTGTACTGCTCTTCTAAAACAACCAACCAACCTTGATTTCACTCCTTTCAAGCTTTTTCCTGTTTTGCCTGATGTTTTTTCCCTTTTTCCTGTTTTGCCTGATGTTTTTCCCTTGCCTGCAATCTGAATATTTAAAATCTTTTCAAGTGTCTGAATGTTCTCTTCTGCCTATATAAACCTACCTAAGTTACAACTCTGCAATATGCAGGCAGAAGCTGACATGAGCTACCCAGAGGGAGAAGTTGTAGGGCACAGTCTGCTTCCTAGTGTAGGGCCTTGTCTTGTACAGAGTTCCATGATGAAAACAAGGAGCTCATTCACATCTATTTACCATACCCTGCACATGGATCACCTACTGCAGCACTGCAGATGACTCCATCTGGAACAACACAGATGTTACTGTAAACAGAAAGAAAAGGTACAACAGATTTCATCCAGCAAGCAGCACACTGCTGTGCCCTGAGTGGCAGTTCCACATTAGCCCAGCCAAACCAGGCTGATGCCACACCTCTGTAATACACTGAGGTAGTTCAAAGAGGCTGAGTTCTGATGTGCAGAATGACAGACTGATTTTCCAGCTCCTTATCTTACTTTTGTTCTCCTTCTGCAGGAAGTGGAAGAGTTCAGCTTTATTACCCAGTTGGCAGGTCTGACAGACCACCTACCGGTAGCAATGCGTCTCATGGTGTCTACGGGAGAGGATGATCCTTAAAACTGACCAGCTCCGAGAGATTAGAAGAGGGAAACATGAATGATATTTCAAAAATATCAGAGGATAAGAATGAACTATTCTGGTGCCACGTTAGGAAAGATGACCAGACCTGACCTGGGCTACTCCCAGAAAGTACCAACAATGTGGATCTAAAAAGGGAAGAAGTGGAAGGGGCTGTGGCCAAAAGCCAGTCACAAGTGGCTCAGGCAACAGGGCAGGCCTGTATTACAATGCTTTCACTGTGGACCGAACGGAACCAAGATGGAAGTCCTAATTCCTTCTGAACCAGTGCCATTCTTACTAAAACATGTTTTTATACTAATATATAGCACAATTTAGTTTGTACTTAGTCTGTGAGTTAGTGCTGCTCAATGGTTTTTTGCATCATTTCTTTGTCTAACTACGAAGCTGCAGCTTTTTCTCTTTCTTTAGCCTGTGACAGTTGTAGTTCGTGCTTGCAGCAGCCGCATGCGCCCGCACTGCATGCACCGGAGAGAAACCGGGCAGAGAAACCTGGCAACGGCAGCAGGGAAGGGAGGGCACAAAGCAGGCCCAGCCAAAGCGTGCTGGGACTGGAAACCCTTCTGTCAGTACAGGTAGACCTTAAACCAAACAACTCTCTTCAATTTGCAGACCAGTATCTTCCTGTCTGATTTAAGGATAATTAAAAGATTTGGAATTGAGACTTCAAGAACACAGTCCCACCCTTATTCCAGCTGTGTTCCCACTGAAATTATGAACTGTTTTGTCTAATGATGACTCCAGAATCAGGCCTTCAGCTTTCTAAATGCAACTTATTCTCTTAAGAAGAAATAGTTTCCCTGTAATGTCTTTTTTTCCCATGTGTGGGACAGTTCTGAATTATGGTATGGGATATGTATATTACAGTAGAGTGAATAGATTCCTGTAGTACCATTGGTAACACCAGAACCAACATTCTGCCTTAGCTAGAAAGGGTAAGTGGGAAATGAATTGTAAAATGCATGCTAGATATAGAGTAAAAATAAACATAAGTGATGTTTGGGGGGAAAAAGGTATAGAACAGTGTATGATTGATAAGGCAGAATAACCTGACAATTTTCTAAAGGAATCAGTGCACTTAAAGGGGAAGTGGAACATGGCCAGCAGGAGAATAGAGAATAGAACTGTGACTCTTGGCCTTAGGTAACTGCTTCCCAGGAACAGAGGCTGTTTTGATGTCTGTGAGACATGATTCTCCATTTGTTATGCACTCATAGACTTGAACGGGGGTCTTGCCATCTGATTCACAGGTCCTTTCCACTAAAGTTCTTCAAATGTGGGGCTGCCCTCTGCCAGCTTGTTCCCATGACCTGACCTATCCAGCCTCTGTAACGTTAACAAAAATAATGAAAAACTGAGAATCAGGTCCATAATGAAACTTGGCATTTTTTTAGGGATTTAATTTCAGAGGATTTGTGTTGTTGGGAGAACAATGAGACTCCTTCTGTTTTAATCATTACTTAGTTTCTCCTGCCTATCTCTTGTTCAAGTGTAGTGTTATTTCCTCTTGTATTACAAATTCCCCCTGTTAAGAAGAGTTAACCCAATATTAGATGTACTCCATTAAATAACCTCTTTTAGTTACGCTGCCCACAAACTCCTGAGGACGCTCTTGTTTTGGTTTAGTTTAGACCTGCTGTGGATCAGCTTGAGCTAAATGAGAATAGATCTAAATTAGAAATCTCAGTCTGCACAGCCTCTGGTACTCGCTTAGGTAGCTACAGTAAACAACAGAACTTGTACTTAGATCTGATTTTGCAAATAGTGAAGCTCGTAATAGTCATGAGAGTAGAGGACTAACAGTATTGGCTCGTTCCAAGGAGGCAGCAAGGCCACTGCTCACACTCTCCCGCTGCACCTGGTCTTGACACATCTTATGCCTCGTTTTCCAGTCCTGGGGTTCCTTCAGCAGAGACTGCCTCTTAGAAGTGTATTGTGCCAAACCGTGGGGTAGTCTGAAGTGAAACCCATGGCAACTCAAAAATGGAACCAGACTCAGTTCCCCTTTTTATAAAATTAGGAATTCAAGTTTACAGAATCAGAGACTTTAGTGTACTACCCCAGTGCACCACCAGTTTCCCACTTTGTATGTCTGTCTTTATACAGAGGGTGCACATATGTGCAACGTGTTTTTCGGGTTTCTTATTGCTCCACTCGATTCAGAAAAACTTGTACCCAAACCAATGCTTTTTAATCCTATTTTCTACCTTGCTTGTATTTTATTAATCTTTTTTAAAAAACCCAAAACCCAGTAGCAATTTGTGTGCTGTCCAGCAGCTATTTCTCAGTAGTAAGACTAACTACAAGGTACGGTATTTTTAATAGTTTTCCTAACAATGTAAATTACGATTTGATATCAATTTCAGCAAGTATCAGTTTCAGGAGCTGAATTTGACACTGTGAGGGATACAAACATAAAACTACTGCCAAACAATGTTACATTATTTACAGTAAAACTAACATGGTCTAAATTACTTTAAAATTTGTTCTGTGGCTTTGTGCTGACTGAAAAATCAGCCACTTTGGTCAACTTTTTGAGATATGCTGAGAAATGTTTTTTTCAAATTTGAAGTAAACTGTTTTAGATTTTGATGCTCCTAATTCCTCAGTGCTCAAGAACTGGCTAGTTGTAAAATGTTCTCTTACACAATACACATACATTTAAGCAGTGTAAGTAGTTCTTTCTAATTACTGTCTGAGGGGTGTGACCTTGCAAGGGAGTGATGCTGGGAGGTTCAGCATTGTGGCACCACTGTACAGATGCTCCTTGGTTTTTTGCATTGATCCTGTGCCTTCTGATGCCTCGGCAATGCTTGCAGGGGTCAGAGCGTGTCTGTAGCAGTGAGCTGGAATGAACAGGTTTCCCCTTCCACAAC